AAACGTGAATGCCTCTTCTTGAATGCTGAAATTACCCAGTGTGCAAGGCATGCCCAAACACTGAGGAGGTTAGCATTGAACGGATGTGGTCTGTGAAAATAGGCAGAGCTGTAAGTACCACTTTCAGGATGCAGACTTAGTCTTACCTAAGGTACAACATAGAAATTTTTTTTACTTGAGTCACACACACACACACATGCATGCACGAACTTAGACCTACCACATACACTTCTAGAGCTCTTGGGAAAGCTTCCCTGGCCCCTTTGGTCCTGTGATGAGGGAAGTTAATTGAGATTCTTCAGGGGAAATCCCTTCTGTTTTCTTTGATAGCCATGGGAAGACTCATTAAGCATTCTCTGCTCAGTGCTTTGCCGGACCCTGACTTTGCTTAGTCCAAGGGCTAAAGCCCAGGAGTGCCATCTTGAGGGTTCCATTAACCACAGACTTCGGTTTTCCCTCCCCTGCCCCATCAACACCAGTGTAGAATAGGAATGGTTCATTGGCCCTCAGAGGCGACCTGGTTTGAACCTACTGTTTTGCTGGGTAGATAGTTTTGTTCTAGAAATTTTTTACCAGCAGACCAGTCAGATAACACTGGCCTTTGGTACTGTGCTGCCTCCTATAGTCCTGGTGCAAGAAGATGAGGAAGCATTCCTAAATGGCTTCCCTGTTTTCAAGGTGACTTTTGCTATTGGGACAATCCGCTGCAAATTGTTTCTCACTGTGTAACACTCTTCTCTGCTTTTACGTATATTTTACAAGAGATCCCTTCACTGGTAAGTGATCCTAGTATAACCCATCTAAGTAGAGATCTACCTTCCCATCATGCATGGGGTTAGGGAGGAGCTGAGCTGGGAAGGGTTGGTTACACAGAGAAAGGGCCAGGCAGGAAATGAGGCAAGTTAAGCTCGTGACTTTTCCCCACTTCATTACGGATGTCCACTGAGCTGTCCAGCTTCTTTTGTGATACGTTCTTCTATGGCAAGCTGACCTTTTGCTGAATAGGTCAAACTCGAGTTGAGCACTAACACCCAGCCTACCTTGTGTTCGTACATCCTGAAGGTGAGGAGCACTGGCTGGGGCTGTGACTGGGAGTGTGTGGTCTATTTCCCAAAAGATGGGTTGTCTTCCCTGCACTGAATTAATTCTCAAAGGCCGCTGTGTTAACTGGTGCTGGAAAGTCCATTTTAGAATGTGTTTGCTGACATTGTTGAGGGACCATCTTTCAGACTCGATCTGAAGCCAACAGCATGGACCAAATAATTGTCCCATCTTTTGGATTTCTCAAAGAAAAAAAATCAGAATTGCATTACTTTTAAATTAAAAATAAAATCCTGCTATTATTTGTCTCTTCCTTATAATGTCACTTAAAATTCACTTCCTTATAAAGTCACTTAAAGTGGTGTTTCCATTTTCAGCCCTTGTGAAACATGTGATGGTAACGTGGTGTTTGTTGACAATTATATGCTAGACCTACTCTTATTTTGAATAGCTCAGAAATTTCTTTTGGACTGCTTGTCAGAGTTAATAGTGCTATTTACCTTAATGTAATGACGGACCATCGACACCAAATAAGCAATGAGTAAATACTAAAATGATTTTGACATTGAGCTACTATGATTCCTTCTTTTTTTCAATCATTGGTATAGGCTTTTCAATTTCCAACAGCTCTTACATCCCACTGAGTTGGTGACATCAGGTTCCCAGACAAGAAATTATGTGTTCCATTTATGTAGCAGTGTCGTGTGTGCGTGTGTGTGTGTAATTCGGTTAATTTTGCCTATTTCATTCGATTTTAGATTTCAAAAAGTAGTCTCTGTTAATGTCAAAAACAAGTCAGTAGACAAGATGGAACAATGACCTGCTTGGCAATAATAAACATATATTGTATGTGGGCTAGCAGATGGTTTGGGAAACTGTCATCTTCCAAAATACTAAATTCTGAGACAGCCTCATAAACAAAGCAGGGTTTTATTGAGAATGGTAGACCTCATTGAGGAAATGAATCCTTAGCTTTTCTTAAGAATTAATGATACTGAAAAAAAAGATTAACATGGAGAAACAACATAATTTTGTTTGCATTGTTTCTGAGTTACTATTGTCTCCATTCTCAAAATGCCAGATGTGATTGGTAAGCATGAGATATGAAGTCCATGTTTGATATCTATTCAGTTATTAATAATGTTGGAGTTAAAGCTGGGCTCCAACCAGGGGCATAATGGGTTCCTGTTTAACATATTTATGTTGGTTGTAAAATTAGGATCTGTCATTACAGTTCCACATCACCTGCATAAGTGCAAAACATATAAATCAAGGGAAGTTCCAGAGCCATAAAACTGCCGTGGAGTAGAATGGCATGAAACTACTTACATGACACTTGTATATTATCTTAGCACATTTTGGGATACACACTCAGATGTCTAGAGGAGTGGAAGAAAAAAAAGAACAGCTAGGCAGGTAGGACTCAGGGATGTGAGGTGGGGGAAAGACAATTCAGTAAAAAGCCCGAGCGGTCATAGAGAAAATGCAGGAAAACAAAGCCCCTCAGTGGGTAGGCTGGAGTCACCGCTGCAGCCCTGCTGAAGACAGCTATCTGCTTGTAGAGGGCGTTGAACTGCCATCTGTGGTTCCCCAAGCTTGCCTCTCAAGCCTTCCCAACACTCTCCTTAGATTTCCTGTCATGGTTTAGGGTCCCCTAAAGGGTGAAGGCTACTGCTCTCTTGTTCCCCTCTTAATCCTGTCTTTGCAGGATAGTTTATGTGCTCTAAAGTTAGTATAATTTTTGTTAAAGAAGATGCAGTGGTTTATTTTGAACTTTGCAATTGGGAGCCCTGAAAGTGTCCCCCCACCCAATTATGAACTGCTAATAAGGAGCTTTCTGAGTCCTAATTACTGCTTGAAAAGCAGAGTGGATACTTTGAAAGGTTTTCAACGATCCGCTCTCCCTCCCATAAGCCACCCACCCCCATAATCATAAAAAAAAAAAAAAAGGCTGCAGATTTTATTCATGTGGGATCATTCACACGAAGCTACCATAATGTGCAATTAACACTCTAGAAACTGAAAACAGTATTCAGCAAGACAGCTGCATTATCAAAAATGCCAGAAGAGTTTTGAAGGGAGTAATGTGCGTGTTAGAATAGGAAATTAATCAGAAGCACACATATACACAGCACATGCAGTAGTGCTGTCTTAAGTATGTCTGAATATTTAGATTTTTAAAATCTGATGTCAGGGATGGCAAACATCCAGCCCATGGCCATGTAAGACCCGGGAAATCATTTAATCTGGCTCTGCTAAGGCAGCCACAGGTGGGACTCAAAATTCAGTAAATCTAGATGGTAGGCTAATTTTGAGACTGACAGGTCTGCATGGCTTTACAAATGTTGTTTTAAATAACCAAATGGCCCTTGGCAGAAGGAAGATGCCCGATTGATGCCCTATGTCTATACTCATAATAAAGAATCACACTGGGTTAGAAAACTGAGTTTTCTGCTTTGAAGATGTCTGTGGTAGGTGTCGCTTCTGAGGCAAACGAGGAGGCTGGGTATCCAGATCTGTGAATTCCGTTCCAGGTGGAATATTCCTTGGTAATCATCACTCTTCAATTATATTTTATAAATTTCCCTATTGAAACAAAAAAATCTTTTTTTTTTTTTTTTTGTTTTCCTCTTGCCAGTAATAATGATACTTAACACTTAGGCTTTTTCCAAAGTGCCTTTCAGCATTGCAGGCGCTAATTCACAATTGCAGCTGAGAACTCCCTGTTTTTGCACAGCACAATAATCATAAGTGCATTTTTATTATAATCTCTACTAAGCTGTTGATCCAACTGACCGACTTAGTAACTGAAACGAAACAGAATTATCCCAGCAGCGTTTTGCTGGAATTTCCTTGTACACTAGGTGAAAGTGCTTTTTAAAGGAAGGAAATGGGGGGTTCTGATGGTTATTTTCAATTAGTGTCATCTAAGCTTGAGAGAATAGAAATTTACAATAAAATTTTCCAGAAAAGAATAAAGATGTGAGGCATTGGCTTTTGGAAATATCGAAAATATACGCAAGCCTTCTGTCATAAATGACTGTGAAACAAATAGTTTTTAAGGATATCTGAGAAGTCAAATAAGAAAGAAGAAATACCCAGAAGAAAAGAATTAAGTATAAAATGATACTTCATGTAAAATCTGGGTTTTTATAGGTTAATCCAGTATTAGGTCCAATTTTCTTAGGGATGGCGTGGGCTCGTGGAGTGACAGGTGTCAGCAGGAGCGTATGTAGCTTGTCAGTAAGGACAGTAGAAAGCAGAACTCTGCAGGAATTGCACATACCACACGCTTGCTGGCCTTGGGAGCTGACCTAGTGTTGGCTGAAGGGGTCGGGCCACCTGCTCTTCTTGTCCATTCTGTGGCATAGTCGCACAGGAATGTTCTGGAAGACATCCAGCCATTTTGGGAAACAACATTACAGCAAATATTTATTTATGTGAATCTCTCATCTCTTGCAACCAAATTGTGATCAAATTGTCAATTTCGAAAATACAAAATGTTTCCTGTTGGCTTGTTTCTAACCTGGAGAAAATAGTTTACATTTCCCTTGGGATGGGATAAGGCCGTGTAGAGATGCTTTCAAAGCATCAAAGCCTTCATTTTAAGAAGCACACTTCGTGGATTTATATAAAAAGGAATCTAAACATCAGATTTTACCCTGTTTATAAAAAAAGGAATCAAAATGGAAATGAAACAAGTGTGAGTTAATTTATGGATGTGGTTTCTTAATGTATCTCGAAGTTGACATTCTGAGTTGCAAACTCAATCTAGAGTGTGCTTATGCTCCAACCAGAAATTAATACTACTTGATGTTTTCTTTCAAATTTTGATTGATATAGTAGCTAAGTAGTGATGTAATTAGAGATAGATCAAGGTGAAGATATGCAATGAGAGCTCCAACTTAATTTTTCTCCTTTCTTTTCTTTCTTTTCTTTTCTTTCCTTTTAAGTTATAGGTGCACAACGAAGGAGAAGCCCCAGTGCACTAGCCATTGAAGTATTTGAAGCACATTTGGGAAGTCACATTTTGCAGGTACCTTTAAAAGAAAAAGAAGCTTGCTTACGATTTATCAAGAAAAATTGATATGCTTAGTCTTTTTCATATAAATGCTTTTTAAAGCTATATATTTGACTCTTGTTACCTTGGAATTCTGAGATTCTTATGAAATTATTTTTTTTTCCTTTTTAGAAAGCCATCCCTTGAGAGAATATTAATGAGAAAGGGAGGGCAAGTATGATTTGTGCTGTAATAATTTAGATGAATTGCACTATTTAGTTGATGCGCAATGTCTAGTAACTGGCTGTTCCCAGAACAATTGTGTATGTGTGCTGGATTTGTAAGTGGATGTACGTGTGTGTCTTTAGAGCTGCATATTGCTTTTTTGAGAGAGCAAAGTATTTCTGTGTGAAAGTTTTGTGACTTTTTCTGTGTGTCGTCAAGCTTCAGTTCTTTGCTTCAGTTTGTATTCGTGTTTCCAATCTTAATGTTTGCTCTTCCAAATTAGTCATTGGGTGCAGGACTAAGCATTTTTGTAAGTAAAAGAATAGTGTTAGTAGTTTGGCCCATGAATTTTGTGTCAAGGAAATGTGAAGGTAATTGGGGGGCTGTACTGTACATAGCCCTACAGAAGATTCTCTAGGTCTTAGCAACTGACTCCCTCAAAACCTTTGCTTTTGAAGACCGTGCTGTCAGTTGGGCTCATCTGCCTTTATCTGTGGATAATTGTTCACATGTTGTCATACTCCCAAGACATGTTTTTGCATGATAAGCCTTGTAGCTATAGAAGATACTTTTTAAAATGGAGTTAGCAAAAGCAAAAATATTTGGGATATGAAGGTAAAATATTGTACTGGAAAAGGTGTTTGTTTTCCTTAATTAAAGCTTGAGGCTATATAAAGGTATACTCCAAACTTCTGGTACTTCGTTTTTAAAAATGCATCTGTAGGATGCTTTCCTTTTCTACATAGTCAGATGTAGTACTAAATCTAGCATGTTTTGCTTAAGATGTGTATACTTAGAAAGTGTTGATAAATTCTCTGTGAAGAAACTTAACTCCTGGTAAAGTCTCGGTGATTCTCCAAAGAAGCTCCTCGTCTTGCAGTTTCAGAATCTCTGGCTCACAGGATGCCTTCTTGAGCCTCAACCCAGAGTAGAGAGGCTGAAGTCCAGCAGTTTGTGATTTTGTAAAATACTGTCTAGGATCCTTTTGATGATCTGTCAGGCTTGAAAGATCACAATTCATATTGGACTCTGGAAGGCCCTGAAAGGTCTTAGTTTATTTTAGTTTGACGTGTAATTCTTATTTTTCCCATTAATATATATTAACATCTCATGCAGGTGACATTTCTCCAAACATACTTTGGGTCATGCTGTTCTGTTGTATAATGTAAAAATTGGGATTATCTTTGCAGTAACACAGGATTAGTTGGAAGGATACTTTAGAAAAGATTAGATTTATTTCCAACTCTTCAGATATGTATTTCCTTCTTTTGTCTGCTTCCAGAACTTACTTTTATATGTTTTTCATGGGTTGTGACTTGTATACCGTTACATTATAATGTAATTCAGGATTACCTCTGTTTATATTCTGAGCTGTCTGTGCTCAAGATTTAGTGCAAGATATGGCTCAAAGAACTACCACAGATTGTTTTATGATATTTCTGGAAATCATGACTCCAAAATCACATGGGGAGATTGACTTAGGAGTTGTAAGAGTTTTAAAAGCTAGCACAAAACAGAAGAGTTTGAATTGAACTTCAGTGGAATAGAAAATATAATAGAGAATTGCTATTCCAAATAATAATTCAACATTTTATTTCCTTGAAATGATAGAAGATCTAGAATAAGAATAAAGAATCTACAGTCGTCTTCATTTAATAGTTAGACTGCTCAGATACCACACTTTCAGTGAAATAATATACTGCTGCATGAAATCGGAGAATAACCAGATTGGTTATTGAACTAGAAATCATATAATGTGAAAAATTAAGAAAAATCTAGGGTAATGTAGTTTTAGAAACACATGACTTAAAAGGGACATTAATGACTTCTGTATGTATCTGAAGACTTTGTGTTTAAGAAAAGATTTTTCTCTTTAAGTAAAGAGAAACAAAATAATGCGCATATCAGCAAATTTCCAAATACTGCTAGTCATGTTTGGAGGGTGTTTAGAACTCTTAGCTGCAAGGGAAGGTATAGGTGGCTTTAGCAGGGATGCTTTCAAGAAAGTCAGGTATCCAAGAATGGCTGCACTAAATAATCTTGAAATTACCCTTGACAATAGAACATTCTATGTGACTTGATTTTGTTACCAGTGGTTGTGGACTTGAATAAGTATAGAGTACTTGAAATTGAATATTAGATTGTGGAAAAGAGGAAGGTGGCAGAGGTTGAAGCGACAAAACTCTCCCCTACTGTCTAGCTTGCTGTCTTGCCTCATAGTTGAGCACATAGACTCCTCTCTGTAGCATGAGTAACAACACCGTAAGGTGCTACAAAGATGAGTCCTACATTTGCTTTCTGAAGTACTTATAGTAGAACCTGGTGGATTTATAGGACCTGGAAGTTACTCTTCCTTTCTTTCTTTCAACCCTTCCTTATATGCAAAAGTTTAGTGGAAATTATATATAAAAAACAAACCTTGCTTAGCTATCAGAATGCTCTGACACTGTGTTTTATAGTGACTTATGCTTCAAGGAAACTTTCAGATACTTTGTAAGATCACAAACTTCACTATACATAGCTGTTGTCTCTGATGAGCTTGCAGGCATTTGTGGGAAAGAAGATCTAGCAGATCTCGGAGTGAACAGCATCACAGAGGTCAAGTACTGAGGGAGTGCTGACGATCAGCTCTCTGAATTTGCTGAAAAGCAGTCAAGAAACCCTCTGAAGTTGGTGACAGATGAATAGGAGTTTGTTAGGTATTGAGAAATGGGCAGAACGCTAGTTAAAGAGAGCATCGAACACACAGGCCTGGGAGCAAGCTGCAATAGATTTTGGTTGGGGACCATTAATGTGTTTGACATGATGGATACTTCACATACAAAGGGAACGCATTAAAGATGAGATATAGAAATTATTTGAGTGATGTTGTTAAGGCCTAGTAACCCAACCCCAGGAGTGGGGACTTGATTGTCTAGTAATGGGCTCATGAAAAAGGCTTTTATGCAAAAAAGTGGCAAGAAAAATTTGTTTCATATTTGGAATTATTATCTAAATATGACATTTAGGGAGCCTTTAAGTTGTGAGAAACACATAAAATTCCATTTAGGAAATTGTAAAAATTGACCAAGAGAGAAAGGAGATTGCTGTGATGGGTCTTGTGAATGGCGACACAGGTTTAGAGTTGAAGTGTGATCACTGATATGTGGCCATTAATTACAAATGAAAATTTTCCAGCATGGCAGGTAGGTTGGTTATCTTATTATAGTGTTATCTGAAAGAAATGGAAAGCCATAGTCTCTTAAAAGCACAAGGGATATGAGGTAAGATGTCAGAAACCTTGATCTGATTCTGTAGCAGTAGCAAGGCTAGATCTGAAAACAGGGCTCGGATTTAGCAATCATTGGTGTGTAGACTAATCATAGTTCAAATCCAACAAGCCGCCAATTGGAGACACAAAGCAAAGAAGTGAAGGAGATACAGTGCTGTCACATGTGATCACTTGAGGAGAAGTAGCAAATTTGAAAGGAGTAGAGGGGGAGGAAGAAACAAAAACACAGGATTTAATGTTGCTGTGAGGAAGGACTATAACATCGTGGAAGCTGGAGATAAGGCCTGTAGTGGGAACAGTGTGCCAGAAAGTGCATAGGCTTTGCCCATCGTGATTGCTGCGTTGTGTTGTAGGCAGAAGACAAATCTAGAGGGTAAAAGAGAAGAACCTGAATGTTTATGGTGAAAAAACAGGTTAAAACTAAATCTGTTGGCCAACTGCTCTTTAATAGTAAATCTTTGGAAAAGGTACTATCTTCTAATCATATACAGGATAAAATGGCTTGTTTTCTTGATCATTAATGGCTATATTTATACTATACATTATGATCATTAACTTAACCATTTGCCTTCTATTGGATACTTTGTATCTACAAATTTGCATTTCAAATTCAAGTACAAGCTGGTGTGTGGGTTCCAGAAAAATATAGGTTTGATGCGTTTTAGCATGAATTCATTTTGTTTTGTGTACTATGTTCCATGTATTGTGCTAAGTTCTCTTCCTACATCATTTAGTACTCACAGTATGCACCTGTGAGAAAGGTGCTAGATGATGTACACCTAAGACTTAGAGAACTTCAGTAGCTGAGGTGTGGAGATCCATTTAGGTAGCAGAGTTATAGTAAAGCCTAGAATACTAGTGTTAGGTTATACTTCAAAGGAGATGGTAAGGGCATTTCAAAAGACATTGGTAATAAGAATCAAACTTGGAGATTTATGTATGTAGTTTAAGTGAATGGAATTAGAGAATTGATTAGAATTTGGAAAGTCAAGAAAGATACAAGTATGTGGTTCAGCAAATGACTCACTTCATAGTGCCAGTTGCCAGGCTTCCATATTCCCTGTCCCCCCACTGATGTTTCCTGATCAGTGTATCAAGGACTCCTTGACATAGAGGTGTGAGGAGTGAGTGTAATGATAGATTTCTCAATTTTTTATGTACTAAATTTTTTGATTGTGAAAGGCATTTTTGTTGTGTGTATCTACTTAGGCCTATATATTTTTTAAGTAAATAAATTGATAATAATGGGGGAATCTCTGGTTCCTTCTTCATTGAGAAGGGGAGAATTAGACTTAATGGTGATTGTATCAATGAAAAAAACAACTCTTGAAAATCCTGGAATCCATTTCCAGTACAAGTTGGCAGGCCATGAATCTGGACACCGTGCTGTACAAGCCCAGGGCCACCACTGGCCCAGCAGACTTATGACTGAATGACCAGTGTTACAGTCCAGTCGAACTTATAGGGGGTACAGTCATGACTGTTGAGACAGTGACACCTTCTGCAAGTGAAATGAGGACTTAGGAGATTTCAGCCTTGT